TGCTTTACACCCGGCGCTCGTTGCCCGCCAGGCCGACACACCACACTGGCCGCCGTCATCTCTCTTGCTCTTGCCTTGTTTTTCTTCACCCCGGGCGCTTAGGTACACACGCACCTATTCTATCTTCGGTGCGTTGGCCATGCACATGTTTATGCAGAATTTGACTTACAATAGTGGCAGACTTCAAACATAGGCAATTCACTACATATATGAAACCCTCCACAAATTATGCAACACCAACTTGACAATTAGAATGTACGGTAACATACCATGTGTAAAGGAAATACACTCATGTTTGAACACTTATGTTTTAGATTATTCAAACAGTATTTTAATACCTATAAATGTACACATCATGTTATCATGTAAACAGTCAAAAAACATCCTCAAGCGCATATGCACCCTCATTGTTTCCCCGTGCAACATTAACCTAACATAGCCGCGCTGTTTACTGTGTGTGCAGTATTCAGGGACGCCAAGGATGACATACTTGGAAACTCCTGAAGTCATTACCTTGAACGCCATAACCTGTCGTTCTACGTTTAAAGCCGTGTTGCTAAGAATACTTTTACCATGTGCTAGGAGATTTACCACGCGTGCTACAAATATGTATGGGACCTATTGTTTCGAGTGGACTTACACTGACGACTTCAAGAGAACTATCCTGTTTGACCTGATATGATAAACTTGTCCTGGGAGACTGGAGGGACTTCTCACTGACAACTTTCTCTACAACTTAACCCCCCTTGGCAAGTTTCCAATGGTATTGCTCTCCCGCTCACCACAAGGCATCGCTCACGCCCTCGCCATCCCGTCTCCTCTTCTCTCTTCTTCTTCGAATTCCCTTCGGTCTATTTCCTTACCTCGCCCTCACTCACTTTTATCACTTCCTTTAACTGTATCGGTGTTTAACCTAACAAACGTCTTTTCATGGCGTTGTTTATTCCTGTCTTATTTCCCCGCGTTGTCATTTCCTCTCTTGCTCTACTTGTCTGTATCTGCCCGAGTTATTTCCTACTTTGTTCGTTTTACTATTTTCTATGATAACCGTGGGTTTTTATATTTAATTGGGTTTCGTTCCCAGTCCGCCTTTGCACTTGGCTACTGCTGCGCCGCCACGTGTAAAGCCTCTCGGAGTTGCCAACTAGTAAACAAGAGATTAGAATATCGGCCTCATGAACTTGGGCCGATAGCAGTGAAGCTCACGTTGCATTTAAAAGGATTTTCCATCATAAAATAATCATTTTTACGGAAATTTTATCAGCTTTGTGGCGATACGCAGTTTCAAAATACAAAATTCTCTCTCAGGATCAGTGTGAACATAGGAGTGATTTTGTTATACGACCTATGAGTATTTTTAATCAAATACATAATATATTATCCGTGAATTCAAGCATTTTATCAGGAACTAGTTCTAGGCACGGTGAAGACAACGTGAGTGGGATGAAGAGGGGGGAGGGGGGGAGAAACGATTGACGCTGCCTAAAAAAAAACTCTTAAACTATATTGGAATAGAGATGAAAAACGTGAACACTTAAGATGAGGGCTGACAAGGACGCTTCCAGATCCCAGAAGGAGGGTTAACACAAGGAAGTTGAAGGGTACTTAGAAGGGATATATTGACATACAAATCGAACGCAGATTACAGGACTTGGCTTCCTTCTAAAATCTCCCCAAGTCTTTCCCTTTTATGTGCATCTTTTGCGGCAACGAACGTAGTTTTCTTTTTTCCTTTTTTCTCTCCCATTTGTGTCTTTAGTTTCTATTATTGAATCATTTGTTTATTTTCCCTTCTGTTTGTAAATTTTGTGACAATGATTCCTTTTTCTAACCGACTACAATTTGGCAATTATTAGGATTTTACACACCGTTTCCCTCTGCTAGCAAGTGAATATTTTCCCGCGTTTTTGCCAACAAAAACAACACACCAAACAAAGAACAAACAAACAAATCATATGTTTTAAAATATCGAGAACAAAAACTTTCTCTTACTTTTCTCGCTCCTCCACATAAGGGTTGTTTTCTTATTATTATTATCATCATTGTTATTATCAGTATCATTATAATTGTTATTATCATCATTAATATAATTATTGTTGCTGTTATTTTTATTTCAATTCTTGTAATTCTTGTTCTTCTCATTAATTTTATAAATTATTGTTATCATTATCAACAGTATTATTATTATCATCATCATTATTACTATTATTATTGTTACTATTATTGTTATAATTATTATCATTATTATAATCTTTACTATTATTATCGTTATTTTTATCATAATTGTCATTAATATTATCATTATCATTATTGTTATTATTATCATTATTATTGTTATTGTTATTATCATTATCATTATTATGACTATTATTATTATTATTATTATTATCATTATTATTATTATCACTATTATTATTATATTATTATTATCATTATTATTAATATTATTATATGATGACTTTGAAAAGCTGTGGGTCTCTTCTTTAAATGCTTGTAGAAATAAATAATGAATAATGAATAGCCGAACGCAGAACTTATCATTATCATCATCATTACTATAATTATCTTTATCATTATCATTAAAAGTTTTACTATTATCATCACCATCACCATAATTTTATGATTATCGTTATTATCATTATCATTATCTTTATCCTCATCAACATCCTGATTCTCATTAAAATTCATTATCATCTTTACAACGATTGTTATCATTATCTTATCACAATCAACATGATCGTTAGTCTTTTGCTATTATCATGAACATGACCATCCTTATCTTTAAGATTATAATGACCCTATAAAAAGGTGTTTTTATATCTGCACACGCGCAAAAACACACACTCCCAGACATGCCCATTCGCACGTAAGAAGTCACACACAAACACACATACATGCAATCAGACGAACATACGTATATCTATGAGTGTAAGTACATACCCATATTCACATATACAGCATATTCACTTAAAAACTTATTTATATATGAATTTACATATTCATTTCAACACATTTTACACAAACGAACCTCGACACATACACGCTACCAGTCACACACATGCACACACACACACGCACACGCGCAAACACACAAGCACACACACACACACACACACACACACACCACACACACACACATACACACATACACGAACGCACTTACGCAACACCGAACCTTCCTCATCCACAATAAGAGCTTTACATTGAGCTCAGGATGTACTCACTTAATGTTGGTAACCTTCCCTACACCTGCATTATCTCCCCCCTCCCCTCTCCCCCTCCCCTTCACCCGTCTCCCATTCGCCACACCTTCGAGCGAGTCAAAATACACCCAGAATGCTCTTTAATTTTCTCATTATATTGCCAGTTCCCGACCGATTTGTGTAAATATCTCGAGTTGCTATTTTACCCAACTCTTTTCTTTTACCTCTTCTCTTCCTCTCTTTACCCTGTCCTTTCTACGCAACCTCCCATGGGCTCTTTGTTCCCCCTCCCCCCCCCCCCCCGTACCCACATACCCTCATACCGGATGGCGCAGAGGCACCTGCTGCTGCTGGTGTCCGCATACCTTCAATCAGCCCAATATCGTCCTCTCTCTCTCTCTCTCGTGTGTGTGTGTGTTTGTCCCTCTTCCTCCCTCCCTCTGTCTGTCTGTGTTCTGTCTGTCTCTCTCTCTCTCTCTCTCTCTCTCTCTCTCTCTCTCTCTCTTCTCTCTCTCTCTCTCTCTCTCTCTCTCTCTCTCTCTTCTCTTTCTCTCTCTCTTTCTCTCTCTCTCTCTCTCTCTCTCTCTCTCTCTCTCTCTCTCTCTCTCTCTCTCCTCTCTCTCCTCTCTCTCTCTCTCTCTCTCTCTCTCTCTCTCTCTCTCTCTCTCTCTCTCTCTCTCTCTCCTCTCTCTCTCTCTCTCTCTCTCTCTCTCTCTCTCTCTCTCTCTTCTCTCTCCTCCCTCTCTGTATATGATTAATGTAATTGATACATTTTAAGAATACATAAACTATTTGAATCTGTAAAATAATATGAACGCAATAGTAAAGATCTTGCCCAAGGATCCATAAAGTGCTATATACCTAGTCATTCCAAAGGAGTTGGGTATGTTTGGGTAACGTATTATTTATCCAAATAAAATGATTTCTCTCTCTCTCTCTCTCTCTCTCTCTCTCTCTCTCTCTCTCTCTCTCTCTCTCTTTCTCTTTCTCTCTCTCTCTCTCTCTCTCTCTCTCTCTCTCTCTCTCTCTCTCTCTCTCTCTCTCTCTCTCTCTCTCTCTCTCTCTCTCTCTCTCTCTCTCTCTCTCTCTCTCTCTCTCTCTCTCTCTCTCTCTCTCTCTCTCTCTCTCTCTCTCTCCTCTCTCTCCTCCCTCTCCTCCCTCCCTCCCTCCCTCCCTCCCTCTCCTCTCTCTCCTTCCTCCCCCCCCCCTCTCTCTCTCTCTCTCTCTCACCCTTTCCCACACTCGCCCCCCCCCCCTCCTGGCGTAATGGCGCAACAGAGAAGTGATGTACGCAGCTCTTCTAGGTCAGTTCCATGAATGCGCAGTTGACGGATGGCATTAGGAGGGGCAGGTCTGACCACCCGGAGGAAGAATAAGAGAGCGGATGATAGGAAGAGAGAAGGAGAAAAGAAGAGAGAGAGAGAGAGTGAATTTGTTGTGAGAGAGGGAGGGAGGGAAGGAGGGAGAGAGAGAGAGAGAAAAGGAAGAGAGAGAGAGAGAGAGAGAGAGAGAGAGAAGAGAGAGAGAGAGAGAGAGAGAGAGAGAGAGAGAGAGAGAGAGAGAGAGAGAGAGGAGAGACAGACAGACAGACAGAAGCAGAGATAGACAAAGAGAGAGCAAGTTCGCAATGAAAATAATATAAAATACAAAAGTTACCATGAAGTGGCATATAAATGGATAAATGTGTGTATTACACGTTGTGAATGGGGCTCTTAAGATTTGTGTATTGGTAACTCAAACTGAATGCTGAAGAGGGCTATGTCACTCGTTAACACATATAGACAAATAGTTTATCCA